TAGAAAGCATGGTGCTACCACATTCTTAAGCACTGTTCCAGCAGACTGATGTATGACACATTTAATGGGATGTTTTTGCTGCTTGGGAAACAGAAAAAGGCTCACGTGGCCTCATGCAGGGTTTGAGTTGTAGGATTAGGCCAAGTTAAACAAGGGTTGTTGTTTAGGAACTGATTTAACAGCAGGGGGTCAGAAAGAAAATTGTTTAACATGTCTGGCGTGTAGTTATAATGCATATTACTACAAATTATTATTAAGCTAATTATTTTGTGCAGTGATTATGATGAGCTACTGAAACAAAAACATCTTGTCAGCATTTTAATTATAATCAAAATAGTCAAATGTCATATCAATATTTGAACAGAAATAAAGATGACAAACACGAGTCATATCAATCTAATAAAATAATCGTTCACATTTCTGAGGTAAATCACTCTATGGTTAAGCTATATTTATGTTTAATGTATATGTCTAGGTATATACAGTACCATTAGCATTCGATAGAGCCAGAATGAGTATTCCACTTACTTGAATAAATACACCTCACTTGACGTTCTGCTGACATCTAGTGGTCAGTTACTGTAGACGTTCCAGTTGAAATGTATAACAGTATGCAATTTCTGTTGGAAAGTAAATAGTATTTAAATTACAATTTAAGCAACAAAATGTGAGAATCATTGTTGAATAAATTACTACTGACCAGAAAGAACACCAAAAAAACAGCTTTAATCAGCTCATGATCCGCAAGAACTAGCTTAAACTAGCAGCCAGAGGCCTGTTGCACAAAGTCGGTTTTATTTTTTCACCCGGGTAAGTTCTTGTTTAGTTTGAGCAAACACTAAATCTTTGGGCTCAAGAAGGCAGGGCGAGTTGGTTTTTGGTCAGGTTTTCGTAATCACTGTAACTTTCTTGTTTCTTTCAGAGGGTTTTATAAATAAACTTCACTCAGAAAAAACACAAAAACACCTGCAGATTCCTGTTGAAGCAATAAAGTATATTGCAGCCTACGCTCACAGCTTCAGATAACTACACAACTAACCTGCTCTGGAGCAGGATTTATTCTGGTTTAGAGATTTCAGACGCAAACTGGCTGTTAGCTTTGATAAATTGACATATTTGATACAAATCAATACTTTAAATAGCATTTATATTTAAATACTAACATATGAATTAGCTGCAATATATCCTATAAGCTTTTTAAATGGCTGACTTTTGAGTATGTTGACCTACCTACATGAACACAATGATTTGACAAAGTATGCCTTCTTTAATTTGCCTTCTCAAACTTTTTCTGCATCAACTGTGTTTACTTCAGTCTTGTGTTATTTGATATTTTATTTAATATCATGTTAATGATATCTGTTAACCAGCTTGCATTTCTTTAGATTTGTCGTCCCGAAACTTACTCTGCAACCCGGAGTTTGTTCAGCTTGTTTCCTGCAACATGCCTCTGGCATCAAAACTAACCTAACCAGTTGTTTAATGTTTTTATTTTCATTTGGATTAAAGAAAATAACTCTGTATAAAGTGAGTGAGAACACAAACACACACACACACACACACACACACACACACACACACATATATATATATCATGTATAATATGTATGTCTAGTTCTGTACTGTAAAGCCTATTTTAAACTGCACCCAAACCAAAGATAAGCAACAAATGTCAGATTGGTGTGTCTGTTGGAAATGATTAAAGATGCTGAACTTGCCGGGTCATGGAAAGTCGGTGAGGCTTTTGACTGATCCAACAAAACCGTCTGTTGCTGTGTTTACATCACTGTGATATGAATAGGCCTTAATAAAAGTTCAAAGGGCCCATTCACACTGCACCAAAACAAACACGGACAATCACCAATCACCAAGTCACTTCTCAGACATTCTATGACCAAAAGAGAGGCAATTTCCCATGTTCAATAAGTGAAAATGCATATGACAGACACAGACAGTCCAACAAGTCTCTAAAATTTAAAGACTAAGCCTCCTTACAGAATTGCCCAAAGTTAGCCCCTGTCCTTACAAAAATTAACCATTGTTCGTTTATAGTTTGTGTAGAAAAAATTATTTTATAATTACAAATTACATTTAAATAAATAAAATAACGATAATACACAATAATGTTTTTTGGCAATATTAGAGTTTTTAAATATCATTTCTTGATTTTTTTCTCAGTAAATCAGTTACAGAAATAAATTATTATGCAACAAATATGAAAATTAGTTTTTATTTGTATAATCAGGTCTGTTAAAAGTGTAATCGAACGATGTTAGCTAATTCCTGCAGCCATACATTTGCTATAACTATGGAAATATTTAAAAAACGTTAATAAACAAGTAATGTCACAATCCATTAAATCATAAATCTTGAGTGTAGCAGAATTCAGTTGATGTAAAATGATTATCCTTTAATTACTATGCATCTCTACACATTTTTATAATGTGATGGGGAAAAACACAACACCACAGTGACACAATGAATCACCAGTGAGAAACATAATGATCTTCAGCGGTGTTACCCAGAAGTAAAGTAACACCAGTGACATTACCACCAGTGACAGGTTTTATGAAAATGCACATTACAAAATGTCCACTGCAAGGTATTTATCCACGTTGATGATCGCAGTAGTATACTCATTAAGTGAACTAGAATAGTCCATATATTTTCTAGTTTTTACAAATCCTTAACAATAAAGGAGATCACACCAGTGACACACACTAAATGCTTAAAATGAAATCAGAAAATAAAAATGACAACTGAAAAATGACTAGAGTTACAATGATCTTTATAGATCTTCAGAAAATACAAGGAAGAAATTCAGGTTATGTCAAGAGTGATTTTTATTTCGAAATAATAGCTTTTAGTTATACCAGTGGCACAGCTCCAGTGGACCACTACTATCATTATATATTTTATAATATTTGCTATTTTCTTATGTCATTTAACTATTATACACTCACCGGCCATATTATTAGGTACACCTTATTAGTACCGGGTAGAACCTGCTTTTGCCTTCATAACTTCCTTAATTCATCGCGGCATATAGATTCAACAAGGTACTGGAAATATTCCTCAGAGATTTTGGTCCATATTGACATGATAGCATCTATGATGTATCTCTCCCATTCCACTAAATCCCAAAGGTGCTCTATTGGATTGAGTTCTGGTGACTGTGGAAGCCATTTAAGATACAGTGAACTTATTGTCATGTTCAATAAACCAGTCTGAGATGATTCATGCTTTTGGACATGGTGCGTTATTTTGCTAAAAGTTGCTTAGCAACAATACTTAGGTAGGCTGTGGCATTGACATGATGCTCAATTTGTTACTAATGGGCCCAAAGTGTGCCAACAAAATATCCCCCACGCCATTACACCACCACCAGCAGCCTGAACCGTTAATACAAGGCAGGATGGATCCACGCTTTCATGTTGTTGATGCCAAATTCTGACCTTACCATCTGAATGTCACAGCGGAAATCGAGAACTGTTTCCTGTTCTTAGCTGACAGGTGTAGCACCCGGTGTGGTCTTCTGCTGCTGTAGCTCATCTGCCTCAAGATTGGATGTGTTGTGTGTTCAGAGATGCTCTTCTGCATACCTCAGTTGTGAGTGGCTTTTGAGTTACTGTTGCCTTTCTAACAGCTCCAACCAGTCTGGTCATTCTCCTCTGACTTCTCGCTCACAGGATATTTTCTCTTTTTCAGACCATTAGCCGAGTTTCCACTATCGTGCCTAAAGCGAGTGAGCCAGGGCGAGCCAAGGCCAGTCGCGTTTCCACTGTCACTTCCGGGGCCAAAGCGGGCCAAATCGGGGCTTTCTTGGGGCCAGCGGCCGGCCTTTATCGGCCCGCCAAATACCTTGGGCCAAAGAGGGCCAACTGGAGCTTCGGGGCGGAGTGCGGACACAGTTTTCCGATCGCACACGAGAAGGCTACATACGCCAAACAAATAAATAAATAAGAGAAAGAAAACATCTAGCCTTATAGACTTGGTATGATTGTCTCTAAACCCTAGAGATGGTTGTGCTTAAAACACCCAATAGATCAGCAGTTTCTGAAATACTAGACCAGCCCGTCACCTTTTACTTTTTTCCCTATCCAGAAGCTTGGTTTGATCTGCAGCAGATCATTTTGTCTTGACCACGTCTACATGGCTATGCATTAAATTTGAGCAGTGGGACAGGTGTACCTAATAAAGTGGCCAGTAATTGTATATAGCTGTTATGAATTCATTATTGTATTTTGAATAGAAGAAAATCTGTTTTTGATTCCTAAATAAAGCATTTGAATGGCTGTGGGACAAGCAATTTTACGTAAGAAATTAAAAATCGATTATCACATTGATGAATCAACTGTTTAGATAGGCTTAACATTTGGTTGTAAAAATGTAAATAACCCCAAAGTGTACATTATTTCATTTAGCCTAAGTCTAGAAACATTAAAACGGAGATTTCTGGGTAGAATAACCCCTTTCGTCAAACTTTATACGAACCTATAATCGCATGACGATTTAGCCAAGACAAAAGTGAAACTATCCACTTCCTTGTCATGTGACATACTGACAGAAAAAAAACTAATTTTACCGGGAAATATCGCATTAAATTAGTAACTTAAATATAATTTAAAAACAATCTAGTTTAACCCAAACTTCTCAACAGTAGAATACACAACAGAAGCACATCGCTTCAGACAGACTCTTGCTGTGTTGACAGCCAGCAGCTTCAGTATTCGAGGATCTCGCGTCGCGTCACTAATGTACGTTAGGCTAGATGTGGCTTTACTGCGTTTCTTGAAAAGCTTCTAATAGGATTCAGTTTTAATCTCTTCGCATAGACTTGGATCAGGTGCGCTTGTCAATTTGCTTCGCTCGGTTTTTGTTGTCACTCTGTTTAGTTGTTGGCTTATTGACGCTTATAGAGGCGGGGTTCATACTGTAGCTCATATTATCTGTTATAAGGCGGGTTCTTTGTCCGCGCGGGTTGGAGTGTATAATAATAACGCGCATGGGGAAGCTGAACTTCGCCGCTTGAGCTGACAGGTTCCGGAGAGCGCGTGTTCAACTTGTATCACGACAAATTCAAGCTTTGAAATCAACACAATGGCTGAAATGAATGGAAAACCAGCATTTGATAAACCTAAGGTTAGTGGTGTCCTGTTGTTGCTGTTATTCATACTATTGTATTAGCTACAGTAAAGGCATACATTTGTTTGCTGTTTCTAATTAAATAATTATGTTCTGATAAATGTAGATAATAAGTTTATCAAAGGCCACCTACTGTACATGAAGAAATGTGTGTTTTGTGTTTTAGTGTTTTGACCATACTATAGTAAAAGGTATTACAATGTACTCTAGAAATTACAATACTTTGTTAATGAATGCTGTAGTAAAGCTATAGTGAACTGAAACAGTATAATAAATACATTTGTACACTTTAGTTTTATTAAACGGTGGTATGCTGTTGTGTTATATATGCAGTTGTAGAAAAGTTAATACAATATTGGGTAATTTGTTTATTTACAGATTTGGTGTGTTACCACAACTAGGCTATAGAATAATCACAACAGTGTTTTTATCTATACTATAGTAAAGTTCTTGAATTATTTTAAGTATTTTACTATAGTATGTATAAAAAAACTTTAGGATTTACTATAACTTACTATATTATATAGTATTATTATATTATTAATAAATGTAATGTTATTTTCAGTGTAATAATATATTTAATATTATCACAAAATAATTGAAACATGTAAAGAAATAATTAAAGAGATACAGCTGATTCATCAGTCTATAAGGGTGGAACATGTATTTATGTTGGGCTGGTAATGCATTGGTCACATTCAATGACACGGGAGAGATGGAGACTGCGCTCCAGGATAATGTTCACACTATTCGGCCTTGCTACACACTTGAGCATTACAACTGCCCTTTGGAGTTATTATACTTACTCAGCAAGCAGATGTCAGCCTGCAGAACTGATACCAGAAACGTGCTGATAAGCAAATATCTACAGAGACGTATCAATAAGCTACATGAGAGTCTTTAAACAGTTTGACCTGAAATAATATTTTATTACAATAACCAAGTAAAGGACTGACAGCAGCATCACTTATTCCTCCATAACCATTCATTGTTGATTGTGAGCATGCTATCAATGACCAAAATGTTAAATTTCTGTATCATACCATCCAAAATGTAGACGACATTTTTTCTTCAGTAGAATAATACAAAAAAAAAAAAAACATAATATAATTGTGGTCTTCTGCGATTCTGTCAATGGCTATTAGCACTTTGAGTGTCAAAATATTAAGTAAAAAATAACCATTATTACCTCCTGATGATACATTGAGGCCTTATAAAATCAAACAAATGGTCTGTTTATTAAAAGTGACCTATTATGCCCCTTTTAACAAGATGTAAAATAAGTTTCTGATGTCCCTAGAGTGTGTATGTTAAGTTCCAGCTCAAAACCCCAACAAATAATGTTTTATAACTATTTAAAACTGCCCCTTTTAGACTTTGATTCAAATTGTGCAGTTTTGATGACATTCGCTAAAAATTTAAATGAGATTTTCTTTTTTTTTTTAAAAAGGGCAGAGCTACAAATGTCTATGTGTCAGCATAGTGGCAGATAAAAAAAACAAGACTAAGATCCTGCGCAAATGAGGGAGAGATTGTGACTAATTGTCAGGACTTTCTTCCTTTGATGACATGTACAAAAGGAGAATGAAGTGATATATGAAGTAATTATAAACTAAAATTAACATATGGTTATATATATATATATATATATATATATATATATATATATATATATATATATATATATATATATATATATATATAATATTAATAAATGTTTATATCCACAGACTGTTGCCACATAAAAGGGTTTAAACCCCTTATTAAAATGATTTTTGCATAATAGGTCCCATTTAAAGTGTTTCACTTCATAATCACTTAATAGTACCACAGTGTACTCAGCTAAAATTACTTAATGTTCTTCTAAAAAAAAAATATATATCTTAATGGATCAAGGGTGAGTAAATAAATTTTTGGGTGTACTATATTGTACATACTGTATGTGTTTACAGTACATGTAATATACATATACGTATTTGCTTTGTGCAATATGTAAACACACATTTTTTTGAAGTAACTGACAAATTCATATTTCATTAGAATTTCCTCCTTTGTCACCAGTATTGTGTATTAAGGTGCTGGGTAAAACACAGCACTCTCTTAGGATGTGTGACAAACACATTCAAATGCGATTTTTTTTTTCTTTTTTTTTTCCTGTGGCAGTTTGACTGTGATTTGCAATAGTCCTCCAAACAAAGACCTACAATTATTGTAGGCGGTAAACAATGTGCAATTCCAGGACTAAATGTCACTCTATAATACGTGCTTTATCTGAAAATCAACAGATTAAGGGGCACTTAACCAGCAGTAACTTCCATATTTTATCAATTGCCTAAGACTTTGTCCCACAGCAACTTATTACATGATAACACACAGTAAAACACAAAAAAGTCACATAGCTCGATTACTTGATTAAGAAAACACAATAAGCACCTAATCCAGTCTGATTGACGTTTCAGGATACACCTTCAACTGTAATGAAAGAAAATTGCTCAGTTTGACAGTCATTAGATTCTATAATGTGAACAAGCTAATAACAACAACATGCAAGTAAGCATTAATAACATGATAATTACAACCTCAACCTCTTACATAGTGCCTTTAACATTAGTCAGACTACAGCAGTTTTGCACTGCACGTATGAATCTATTTAAGTATGAAGGGGCTGACAGCTTAGGCTTGCACAGACAAGATTTCGAGCACACATTCCACATGATGGCAAACAAGCACGCAAGAACCTATTCATCATAATATCGTTAGCACAGACTGTTTAAATGCAAGCTTCCCTATTCAGCGAATTGTTCATTTTCTGAATTAAATGGAGGACCCATGCAGACTAGAGCGCTTGAGGAAAGTATTCACTCACTGCAATCCCATTGGGCCTTGTGCTTGTAAACCTGATCCAAGTAACTGAGAGCTAGACCCAATGGAGTGAAAGCACTAGAGGTGACATCATCCATGTTTAGTTTAGCATTTTTGAACAACCAGAAGAGGTTTTAATAGTCCTGAAATCTTTGTGTGGTGCTGTCTGTGTATTCAAAACATGTTTACACTGCACATCCTCACCTAATTCTGTCTTTTTATTATGAGTTAGCAGTTTTTAATCATGAGTTAGCAATGCAAAATATTATATAGTGTTGTACTCTTTATTGAGACCAGTTTGTTTTGAGATTATATAGATTTGCCGTACGCTTCAAGTCAAGCCTTGACAAAGCATGTTTATTTTCGTCATTGAACTCCACTGATGGTGTCGGTATCGTTTTATATAAAGGGCTGCATGCTCTCCATCTTCTCGTCTGATGGTGGGGGAAGGGACTGAATACTGTTTTCGTGTGTCTGGACGGTCCCTGGAGATCGCAATGCATAATCAGTGTTGATGTCCTTGACTATCTGGTCCCTATCATACTCGTGAAGGTCTGTTCTGTTTGAAAGTTGAATTAGCGTCCATGTTAACTGTAAATTATAGCCCTGAGGAAACACGAGTCGCTGAGCAGCCATTGCTTAAGATGATTTGTTGAGCAGTTTGGTCAAAAATGCATTGCAGATGTGCACGGTGATCCTGTTTTCTCTATTTCTTACCACAGAAATGTTCTTTGGCTTCATGAGAACTTGGAATAGATTTGTAACTATTATAATCTTAACACTGTGAATTCTTTATGCTTTAGTTGTTCGCCATGCTCTGTAGGTTTTAGGAGTGATTACTGTTTTTAATGTAGGAGGAAATCCCCTAAATTGTCATTCAGTGTGTTTGTCGACAACATGACTTACTCCCACAATTACAAGACTGAAACCCTTGTGACTATATTAGAACATTAAACGCTTGTTGTGTTCTGTAATTTGAACTAAACTGCAGCCGACTGAGGCGTTGTATTTTGTGCACACTTGGAAAACTGCCTTACACCGCACTCCTACACTGCTGTCATAAATCATTCAAGTTTATGGAGGTATGAGAGTGGGCAGTGATCTTTTGGAGTTATTTCAGTATAAAGTATTGGGATTTATTTCAGTTTGTTATGAATTTTTTCTTGGTGTTTTTTTTTCCAAAGATTGCAAGACCTGGCAACATATGATAAGTGTAGGGGCTAGTACCTATTCCATGTGAATTCCTTCTCCACATAGTTGGTTAATATAGTTAAACTAAGCATTTTTTTGTTTTATAGAACACGTCTTGGCTAAAACTAGGCTAAATTTGGACTATTAATGAAAATGTAATAGTCCAAAAACAGACTAGTCATTATATAGACGGATTATACTTCAAGTGTAGTAATTCATTCTTACTTGTTTGACGACAAGTCTATTTTTGGTCTACAAAGTGCTTTTGGGAGATTATCATATGCAATTTTACAGAGGAACTATGGATTCAAAATAATGAATGAACAGGTTAACCTCTACTAAATTGTGCAAAACAGTAGGGCATCTTGTAGAGCCTGCTGCATCATACATCATTAGTGTAGCTTTAAAGAGTTTATACAAATAAATGCATAACTATCCCTTTAAAGCAGCGGTCCATTTCTGAGAGCAATTTCAGATTTTATCTGGCAAATGCATTTTTTAAAGAGCCATTAGGGTATATACATACACAGTGCTCAGCAAATATGAGTTCACCCACTGCAAATCTTTCAGTAAAATTCATATTATATAGGATCCATTAAAATATTATATTTGTGTAAAAACCTGGAGCTAATCTAACAAAGTAAATTGCGATGGTCCAAAAATTAGTAGCTCAAATTTATATGTTAGCGGAAAATATGAAAAGTGATTATTAAAAAATATCAAAATTTAGTTGAAAATTTGCAGATTGTAATTTAAAATATATATTATGCATGACTTTTAATGTATTATCTTTCTATTTTTAAAGATGTTCAGTGAATAAAATATAATTTTAATAATAGTTCTGTTTAATAAATCTGTTTTGTTCAAATGCTTTAACATACATGATGATGAGCACTGTATTTACAGTATATCCTAATATGTATACACACATTTTACTACTACTGTATACATATGTTTAATCAAAACTGTAAATTATGTCCATGCACAAGTCAAAAATAAACAGATATGAAGCATCACATGTTGAGCAGGTCCATGAATGAAGAAAGGACCATTTTTCTTTTTGCCATCACCACATCACTACTCTTGAATGTTGTTTGAATTAACGTGCGCAAAGTTACCACAGAAACGCAAGTTGTTTGTCTTTTATTGGTGTTGCAATTCAAGTTAATTTATTGGTCGAAATGTCTCTCTGTTGTAAACTGTGTTTTATTCATTTTGCTGTAAAAAATTACAATCAAAAAGGAATTGTAATTGTATTTTCAACAGGAAATTTTCCAGTAACAGTTATAATTTTGTATACTGTAAAATATTATTGAAGGGAGACCACTGAAGAGCCTCATATTTTTGATCAAAGAGCCACATGTGGCTTGCAAGCCATAAGTTCCCTTACCACTGGTTTAAAGATTGATCATGTCACTTTCAGATACACCACACACCTTTTAAAGAGGAAAAATCCATTAAAGTTTTGTAAAATATTTCTTATTTGAGTTGAATTGTTTTTGAGTGAGTGTGTGTCTAATTTGAAGGATACCAACTAAGCTGTATTTTTCATTCTGAATGTTAAGGATTAATTTCATTCATTCATTCTTTCATTTTCCTTTGGCATAGTCCCTTATTTATCAGCGGTCGCCACGGCATAATGAACTGCCAACTATTCCAGCATATGTTTTATGCCCCATTCACATAGGGCTTCAGCGTCAACGCTCGACTGAAGGCATGTCTGAAGTTGGAGCAGAAACGATCATCATAGAAGCATCAGCCAATAAAATTCAGTCAGCAATAGGCCACTGTCTAGCTGGTGTATTTGCATACAGCGATCTGATTGGCTGACGCTTCCGTCGGCGCTTGGAAAGTTGAGCTAGTTCCAACTTCTGCAGCGAGCAACGCCTCTGAAGCGGCGCCGACGGATCCACAATGCAGTTCGGCAATGCCTGACGTCACCCATTTAAAGTGAAAGGGAAGCATTGACGCTGACACCCCGTGTAAATGGGGCGTTATGCAGTGGATGCCCTCCCAATTATGTTTACTCAATTCACCTTATGTCTTTGGACTGTGGGAAAAACTGGAGCACCTGGAAGAAATCCACGCCAACACGGGGATAACATGCAAACCCCACAAAGAAATGCCGACTGACCCAGCCGGGACTCGAACTAGCGAACTTCTTGCTTTGAGGTGACAGTGCTTACCACTGAGCCACTGTGCAACCCATGCATTCATTTCATGTGTCATCAAATGGATGAGGCATAGGCAAGCATACAATCTCTTATACCCAAATAACACAATGTTCAGTACAAATTAGTCAATAACTATTTATACGATGAGTAAAGCTTATACGACTTAATGGATTTTTGCATTTTCCAACCAACAAAACATAATGGTTTTCTCTCTATAGTTTGCCTCTATCCTTGTTGTGGTTGTTTCAGAGCAGCTGGTGAAGAGTGCAGTTTAATTAGTTCATCTGTCTGGGCAGCTCACCGTGCATTTCAGCAGACTACAGTCATTACATTCACTTCTCTAACAACCCTCCCTGACATCCTAAGTCTTTCCACTGACCTCATTTCACCCAGTCGTGCTTTCCACATTGTAGATGTGCTCCACAAGGAGCAGTTCACAGCTGCGCTAGAAGGAGTTTCAGTTAACTGTTTGAATACGACAGGAATATGAATTTGAAAGCTGAGCTCAAACTCATGACTATCGTGCTTCTGCTCTGCTCTGTGGTATCAACAAGTGTCCGCATTTGTCACATGGTCTACATGGTGGGGATAAAAAAGGGTGTTGAAACACACAAGTGGTTTATTGCTGCTCTTTTATCTTTGCAGGTTGAGCTACACGTGCATCTCGATGGGGCCATTAGATTAAAGACCGTTTTAGATGTAGCCAAGTAAGTAGGACTAATTCCTTTTACACACTGGGAACCAGTCATTTTAAATGTCCAGTTGGAAAAATGTCTTTTCTATGTACTCAGAAGCCCCTTGGTTTATTATTATTATTATTTATGTATTTTTTTTTACCAGAAATTATAACACAAGTTGCATTACTAGTGGGCTGTATGCTGTTTATAAGATCCAATGTAATGATACATATGCAGTTTCCTCCCAACGGTTTACAATCACACATACAGTAATCATTTTGTGAATTGGATTTCTTTTATGTGGCCATCTAACTTAATATCTATGCAGATCTTTGGTTTAGAGGGATGTACAGTGTAGTTTAATAAAGTAGCGTGTATGTATATAAATAGAGATGCACCCAAAAAGGGTTACTCATTTAATTTAACATATAATCTGTGAAATATTTTACAATTGAATCATCTCAGGCACATTTTGGGAACACCTAGGACTTTTATTTTGTCGGGCCCCTTTATATACACATATTAAAGATGTTAAAATGATACACATACTTATTATGTAATCAACACAAACCTTAAAGTTCACTTTGGTAACTTGTTTTAAACTCCAGAAGGGAAAATGTAAATAATTTGAAATGTGTTGGCCTTATTTTGTTGTATTGGGGCTTTTACACTCATAGTTATACTGTAGATTTATGCACATTTAGAGACTCATGTTGACGCTTAACCTACAGCCTCAAAAGTTGATCTGCTTTACTGTCTTTTAACTAACAAATGTGACAATACACAAGCAATTCTGTGATCTTTTAACTGAATCTTCAAAGCATTAATCAAAGCTGTAATTATGTCTCAGGCGGCGAGGAATCAGTCTACCTGTGAGCATGGAGGAAGAACTGAAAGAGCTGTGCACAGTGAATGAGCCGGCCACACTCACAGAATTCCTTGGCAAGTTCAGTCACTTCATGCATGTCATTGCGTAAGTAGTTGTGCTGAGAAAAGATTGGTTACATTAACATGAATTATGTTGTGAATGTGCTTAAAGACTGAATGGAAGCCTTATCGTTTAAATAGCATTGAGAATAGGAGTATGAATATATGATCATCTTTTTCTAATAGTTTATGAAATTATTATTACAGGTATTGTTTTTAGCAGAAATTTGAACATTTGTGCCAAAACATTTTATTTTTGAGCTTTTGCTCAAAATTTTTTTTTTCTTATTTGGAGTTTAATTTTAATAAATGTGACCCTGGACTACAAAACCAGTAAAAGTCTTCATTTTAATAGAATTTTTTTGGCTGAGATAAAACTTAAAAAATAAAAAGAGTTTAAAATTTATTGAGGTAAATTGTTCTTATATACCTATATCGAGTTTTCATATATCTACAATAGAAAATTATAAAATAACTTAATGGAGCTTAATCTTTCCTTTACATGTTAATGATTTTTGGCATTAAGGAAAAGTCAATCATTTCATCAAAGTTGTCTTAAAAGTATTGAACAACATCCAGTTTGGTCTTAAGAAAAATATGTTAAATGTTTTTGATCAACTTCAAATGTAAAACAAACTGTATATTCATTTTTCTGAAGTAAAGAATTATTGAATGTATACACACTCATTAGGTACACCTGTCCAACTGCTCATTAATGCAAATTTATAATCAGCCAATCACATGGCAGTAACTCAATGCATTTAGGCATTTAGACATGGTCAAGACGATCTGCTGCAGTTCAAACTGAGCATCAGAATGGGGAAGAAATGATTTAAGTGACTTTAAACGTGGCATGGTTGTTGGTGCCAGACAGGCTGGTCAGAGTTTTTCAGAAACTGCTGATGTACTTGGATTTTCATGCACAACCATCTCTAGAGTTTACAGAGAATGGTCTGATAAAAAAAAAAATCCAGTGAGGGACAGTTCTGTGGGTGTAAATGCCTTGTTGATGCCAGAGGAGAATGGGCAGACTGGTTCGAGGTGATAGAAAGACAACAGTAACTCAAGTAACCACTCGTTACAACTGAGGTTTGCAGATGAGCATCTCTGAATGCAGTACACGTTCAACCTTGAGGTGGATGGGCTATCGCAACAGAAGACTACACCAGGTGTCATTCCTGTCAGCTAAGAACAGAAATCTGAGGCTACAATTGGCACAGGCTAACCAAAAATGGACAATAGAAGATTGTAAAAATGTTGCCTGATCTGATGAGTCTCGATTTTTGCTGTAACATTTGGATGCTAGAGTCAGAATTTTGCGTCAACAACATGAAAGCATGCATCCATCCTGCCTTGTATCACCGATTTAGGCTGATGGTGGTGGTGGTGTAATGGTGTGGGTTATATTTTCTTGTTTCTACCATGGGGCCATTAGTACCAATTGAGCATCGTGTCAATGCCACAGCCTACCTGAGTATTGCTGCTGACCATGTCCATCCCTTTTTGACCACAGCGTACCCATCTTCTCATAGCTACTTCCAGCAAGCGCCATGTCATACAGCGCAAATCATCTCAGACTGTTTTTTTTAAACATGGCAATGAGTTCACTGTACTCAAATGGCCTCCACAGTCATTAGATCCCGATCCAAAAGAGCACCTTAGGAATGTGGTGGAATGAGAGATTCGTATCAAGGATGTGCAGCTGACAAATCTGCAGCAACTGCGTGATGCTATCATGTCAATTTGGACCAAAATCTCTATGGAATATTTCAAGTGCTTTGTGCCACAAATGATTAAGTAGTTCTGAAGGCAAATGGGGTTTAACCTGGTACTAATAAGGTGTACTTAATATAGTGGCCGGTGAGTGTGTATCTGTACTTTAAAAAAAAACAAAAAACAGTTATGAGCAGCTAAATGTTTTATTCATTTAAAAAATATACTTTTGTCTATTTGCATTACATTGTAGAAAATAGTATTGATAACAGTATCAATACCAGTATCAATAAGAGGTAGCGTTATCAATTAAATCCCTACAATTAATTATTATGAACTTTTTTAATTGATTTCTAATGAATTATACGTTAAAAAGTTACACATTCAACTGTTTGCTTAAAAATGAACGTAAATTACTTTGGGATAGGACTAAAAAAATGCATGAATTAAACAATCCAAGGACACTATGATCTGCTTTCTTCATCACAGCTAAGTAAATACTGAACTTCAGGGACATCTACTCAATTACTGACTCAAATCTGTAGCATATCTCAAGTGGTTAATAAGTAAGTAAACGAACCTCAGGACTGTATAATCGCTGGTGGGAGATACACCCTCAAGGACATCGTATCCTTTCCGATGTCCAACTGCATCTTTAAATGCAGCTCATGTCACACCTTCACCGCATGTCGCTATAGCAACGGACATATAAGCCCTGCATAGGCTTTTCTGTTGTCCTCTGAACAAGAGTCAGATAATGCAGTGCTTTCTGCACGCTTCCACTTAAATGCTTTGACATGAAGACTTGAAAAGCAGTGCAGCCGGCAGTTTTTGTGGGCCGCCAGCTGACATGCTTCATTGAATATGAACCTCTAGTCCTCGGAAGCTTTAAAAGGGCCTTGTTTACAGCATGCGCCTCCCCCACAACAACACAGGGAACTTACTGGCTGGTATTGGCAACCACTGGACTCTTCATTGTCCAATGGTGTAGGCAGGCTCAATGCATGTCATGTGGTCTAAACTAAAAAAACATGCTTTGTGACCGCGATCAAATGCCCTTTTATTTACCACTCTTAAACCTAATGCGAGTCAGAGAGAGAAATAAAAAAGGGGAAATAACTGTGCTAGTGAATGAATTAAGTGTCATAGTGTAAGTGTTACTGAGTTGTAAAAAATTATTATGGCCTTTCCTGTATTGTGCCATTTGAAGGTTTTCTTGGAACAAGTTCATAGTTATGCAATAAGGCAGGTTTTTATGGGCGTGTAAATGAAGCATTTTAAATATTTGGTTCAAGAATTCATTTCTAACTACACTCTTTAAAGTTTGATGATTGATATGTAAATATAGAAATGTGTGTATGTTTGTCTATGCATTTACATTTATATTGCGGATTTTTGATTTTTGGGTATGAAAACAAGACTGTGAGGGATAGATTTACAGACTTAATGTCATGCACTATATTTAATACTCCTACAGTAGATCAAATAGAACAGGGTTTCCACTGGGTTTTAAAATGTCTTAAATCTTAAAAACAGAATTTTTAGGCCCTAAAAATTTACTGAAATATTGTGTTGTAGGTCCGTAATCTCTTTAAAACAGACCTTAATTTTCCTTTGTTCATGTATAGCTACCCAATTTGGCCAACACCCATACAATCACCATCAATCCATCTTCATAAAACTATATTACTATATATTTTTAACTATATTTACTACAATGGTTTAATTATTTTCCTTACAATGACATTCTCCATGTATTTACTGCTGAGGACACTGGCTTGGACAGGCTGTTGTGCATATGTTAAGTTTATTATAGTTTTTAAAACATTTAAAACATTTCTCAATTTAAATTTAAAAAAAGGTTATGTTGAAAAGTGTTCATGTTTACAACTAGAGCTTGCTTGTTTTGACACAATATTTAAAATATTTTGCTGAGAAATATCTAAAATATAAAATATTTATTACTAAATTTTTTATTCTATCATTAAAGGTATTAAATCATAATTATTTTTCTGATAAGGCAAATAAAAATCTTTTCCATTTGGGTCAATCTAAAAAACTAAAAACACTAAAAAAGTGTTTAGCCCTGTATGAGTCTTAAAATGTCTTAAAAAGTTTTCAATTTAACTTGAACTTGAACTCTCAAAACTCAAACATTTCAAAACTGTTTTATGATTTTTCTTTTTAGTATGCCGGTCGAAGCACATTTCCAAGTTTTCATTGCCAATCTTAGCCAACTGTAATCATTTATTTTGGTTCAATTAGAAATTTTCACAACCAGCGCAGAACTCTGGGGACCGGAGAGAGGCTGGCATGACCTTTTAGTCGAATGATTGGCATGCTGATTCGTGTCAAAAAATAAATATGGCACTACATTGACTAAAGCATTTACTTTTCTTGAAAGAATAAATTTTTTTTTTAAGTCAAAAGTATACTGGTCACTTTATTGGGTACACCTTTACAACTTCTCATAAATAACTACACAGCCAATCACATGGCAGCTACTCAATGCATTTAGGAATGTAGACGTGGTCAAGACTGACCTGCTGAAGTTTAAACCAAGCTTCAAAATGGGGAAGAGATTTAAGGAACCTTGATTGTTGCATGTTTGTTGGTGCTAGACAGGCTGGCTGGTTTCAGAAACTGCTGATCTACTGGGCTTTCCACAAACAACCGCTTAGGTTCATAGAGAATGGTCAAAAAAAAAGAGAAAAGACAGTATCAAGTGAGCGGAACGCTTTATTTATGTTATTTAGGACTTGTGGAGCTGCGCATCAATGGATTTGCTCTTCAGTGTTTGGACTTTCAGCAGTGAAATTTAAATCACACTGAATTGAACTAAATTGCACTTAAACTCTGATACGGTTTCAATTTACTAGAAATTTTATGTTAAGCTGCTTTGACACTGACCATCTATACTGTAAAAATGTTATAGAAATAAACGATGAATGAAGTGAATTGAATTGTTGCCCGAGGTCAGAGTAGAATTGTTAGACTGGTTCAGCTGATGGAAATGCACCAGTAACTCAACTGAGGTCTGTTGAAGAGCATCTCTAAACACACAACGCATAAAACCTTGAAGAAGATGAGCTACATCAGCAGATGAGCACACTAGTGCCACTCAAAGCAGCTAAACTGCAAACTGAGTCTACAACTCGCTCAAGCTCACCAACATTAGATGACAGAATACTGAAAACATGTTAACTGGTCTGGTAAGTCTTGATATCTGCTGCATCATTTGGATGGCTGGACAGGAATTTTGCAGAAACAACATGAAAGCATGGGTTCATCCTGTCTTATACAAGAGGATAACACTGCTGGGGGTGTTATGGCATAAAGCAGATTTCATTTCTGGACATTTGGCCCCTTAGTTTTGAGTTCCACAGTTTATGTGAGAGATGTTGCTGACCATATCCCTTTTTTTTTATTTTGAATTAATGAATGAATAATTCCAGCTCAAATCAATTCAATTCATCTTTATTTCTATAGTGCGTTTACAATGTAGCTTGTGTCAGAGCAGCTTAATGGAAGTTCTAGTAAATTGAAACTCTGTCAGTCTAGTTTTCAGAGTTAAAGTTTAGTTTAGTTCAGTTCTGTGTGGTTTAAATTTCACTGCTGAAAGTCCAAACACTGATAAAACAAGTCCATCAATGCGCAGCTCCACAAGTCCCAAACCAAGAAAGCCAGGCTTCACCATCATGTCAAACTGGTCTTTCCTGAACATGACAGTGAGTTCACTAAACTCAAAGGCCTCCACTGTACCCAGATCTCAATCTGAGAGAGCTCCTTATATGGGATAATATGGGAAATTAAGGCAGCTCTGAATGTAAAACTAGCATGCTGAACCTAATAAACTGGCCAGTGAGTGCATTACTCTATGTTCTTATGAGTTTCTCAAAGGTCTCAACGAACATATAAGGGGTAGGGGGTGGGGTTTCATGCTGTCTTATCTTTTTTTTATATCCCATCTGCAGAGGGGACAGAGAAGCCATCAAGAGAATAGCGTATGAGTTTGTAGAGACAAAGGCCAAAGAGGGAGTGATCTACGTTGAAGCCAGATACAGTCCTCATTTTCTGGCCAACAAGGGTGTGGAACCTCTACCTTGGGACCAAAAGCCGTATGTGCATCCAACTTGCCGTTTCATTGCATGCATTGTTTATTGTTCTTATGTTCCAATAATAACGTATGTTTACATTTGCTCTTGCACAATAACCCTGTTCTTGGCTTTGTCCTTGCATGTGCTCTCCTCTTCCTCCCAGAGGAGACATCACTCCTGATGATGTGGTGGATCTGGTGAACCAGGGATTTAAAGAGGGAGAACAGGCCTTCAAGACCAAAGCCAGGTCCATTCTGTGCTGCATGCGTCACATGCCAAGTAATGCAGTCCCACCTCTCCCTCACCCATCCCCTACCCAGTGTGCTGTGTGTTTGAGAGGCTACGCCTTACTGTCATCCCTCATTTAAAACCCATTAATCCACAGGCTTTCTCTGCTCCTGCCCAACGGTGTTAATCAGTACTGCACTGGCACTAAGCTGCGATTTTTTTTGTCCATGTTTTAGATTCGGTCAAGAAAGGCTGTTTGGAAATGCTGTAGTGAATTTGGAAGTAAATGCAATTCAAATAGTCATTAAAACTGAGCAGACTTGAAGCACTCAGTCAAGTTTACATTATTTTGTACATGGGTTTCCTCTTCATGAAGTAATGTACTGAACACAGAGACTGGAAAGCCTCATTTAAAGTGTCATGAAACACTAAAACACATTTTTTGAGATGTTGACAGTCATATACTGTATATGTCCCACATGGCTAAAAACACTATTGGGACACATATTTCACTAAAAATTGAAACTAATTATCAGCGGGCTCTATTGTGAATGAGATGCAACTTCATTAATATGCATGATACAGCTTTGAAGACCTTTTACCTGTTACAGAGTTTAGAGAGACGCCATGTTGTGTAGCCAACTGTAATTAAAACAAGTGGAAGAAAAAGAATTGTTCGAAGACATGGGTCGTCAGAGTTTGTAAATGTGCCCCAACGAAGGTTTTGTTTCCAATGTCCCGCTTTGAGAATCTGGAAATGGTGAAATCTTGATTTCTTGCTCGTCTCCTTTTAAAAAAGGACACAGTTCCAGTTAGTTATCATCAAGTTAGTTAGTATCATCAGCAGTACTCTTTCATTTTTTGAAGACATACCTTAGTCAAAAAGATTTAGTTAAAGGGCCATGAAACCCCCTCGTTTCAGCAGGGTGTTTTCACACCTCTACTTTGGAAAAAGTCAGAAAAGTGGGCGTGTCCAGCTCTGTTTAGGGGGAGTGTCGGAGGAACTAAAGTGGGAGGGTGTGGGAGTTTCTATTTGGGCACGCGCGAGTTTCAGAGTCAAAATACACACACGGGAGAAAGTGATGGTTTTTACATGGACATCTGTAGTCGAATTATTTGCCAGATTATTAAATGGTGGACTTTAACTGCAGTTTGGCTCTTTCATTCAGGGAATTCATTCATGCAACTCGCGACAAACACGGTATTTGTTTCGAGGAACTGCTCTAAGCGTGTATTTTTCATGCAATGTTTGATACCGCACGGCGAATGAGAGAAAAAAAAAACTCCGCATTTCCCGTAAACTTAGATGCACACGGCAGGTAGCGTCAGAAAGCCGTGTGTGTTATTCCGGTCACAAAATGCGGTAAAAACCCTACACAAGGTTAAAGTTTGGTTGTGGTGCTAACATGTTTACACTCGGTGCAATAGTTAAGTTAACTTAGTTCGATACGAACAAACTGAATAAACAAAGAGCACTGGTCACTCACTTACCAAATCTGTAGAGACAGGACAATCACCAGCAACTAGAGCCGCGTCTTTATGAAGAGAATACTACAAGCGAATCCGGATCTCAGCATTTGCAGATGAGAACAGCTCTCAGGTAAACAATAATCCTCCTTAGACACGTAAGTTATTGTTGTCGAGCATCGCGTACACTGTTAATATTAATGAAGTTGCACAATAGAGCGCGCTGATTGGTTTGAACCAAGCTTTACTCATGCATTAATGCATCACACTGTAAGACGCAATATGACACACTTTGGCACAGGCGTCCAGTCTGCACGCTGGAATACAGGCTATTATGTCATGACCGTGACGCAGCTTCAAAAATTCGTTTCAAACCGGAAGCACGAATTTGCTTGAAATAACGCAAAAACAACCAATTTATAATTTTAGTGAAATATAGGTGTCCTAATAGTGTTTTTAGCAGTGTGGGACACATATACGACTGTCAACAGCGCAAAAAAATGTGTTTTGGTGTTTCGTGACCCTTTAAGTTTATAGTAATATCACTACAATATTATAGACTGAAAGATCCACTGTAAATGCTGCACTCTGAATGTAAACATCTTAATCAAACTATCCCCATCATTAGGATTTTCGCAAATGTGTGACAGGATAGTCTATACAAACATGGCTGCTTGACACTATTCTCTGCACCTACCGAGTCTCTGCATCTACTGAAAAATGCAGAGGTTTTTTCTACCATACCGCATGCGGCATCAAAATCTCCTTTAACACTACACTCTTCAAGCAGTTCTTCGCATCCAATATCTTGTTTGTCTCAGGTGCATGCATGAAATGTTCCTAAATGACAGTGAAAGTGCCAAACTGCAGTCAAAGTCGACAAATTAAGAATAAAAAATCCAAAATTACACGAAACTCTAGAGGAAATGTTAATTGAATTACGTGCTGTAACATGTAAAATGGATCATGAAAGGAACATTCAAAAAGCAACTCTTGTAAACACCTTAATCATATTATTGTCTTAATCAGATTAAGGCAAATAATTTGATTACTGATGTCCATGTTAACATAGTCACTGTCTATCTTCCCTGCGTCTGTGTTTCTGCTGTGAAAATCAGCGCATGCACGTACTGAAACGCCCCTTTTCATGCAAACCCTTCCCTCTTTCACCACTCAACACTCCCACCTATATACAAAACTGGACTTTCCTGACTTTAGGGAAACACCTCGCTGGGACAAGGGAGGGTTTCATGGCCCTTTAACACAATTTGTGAAGTGTTGGGCGAGCATCACATAGCTGGTGCAAATACAAGCATCAAATGTATATAAAATATTTAAATGTTTACTTTTTTTAAAAATACATTTTGATACATTTTGTTTTGCTGGTCCAGCACTGCCTGACAAGGGGGTAACATTCAGACTCATGTAGACTTCAAGCTTCACTAAGCCACCTCTTTGTGGATAATGTCAAGACAAATTCTCTTATCAAGTCGATCAACTCGATCTGTCAACATGTGTAAAGGATGGAAAAACCTGCCATGTGAAAAACCACGCCGATCTTTGAATACGAAAAGAGGCGAGGGGCTGTAGTAGTAGTAAAAAGTGAAAGGCCCCATTATGTTGGTACCAGACATTCTTGAAACCATAGTTGAAACTCAGACATTCAGCTTAATACAGAAAGTGAACCAAAGCGTATCAAACAATCTGTAAGTAAAGGAAAAATAGAATAAATATAAATGTATATTAGCCACACATCTGATGCTTGTATTTGCACTAGCTCTATGGCAACAACTTCATTAATTGTGTGAAATTAGGCTTTGCAGCTTGTGTGTTCAGTCCTTCCCATGACGTCAGACACAGCGATATTCCAAGATGGTTGCACCCTAGCTCTCACGTAATGAGAGCTATTGCATTACACATCATGTAATGTTCTTCTAAATGGTTACATTAATTGAGTTTGTTTAGTATGTTTTCATTAAAGTGGAAATCAATTTACAAAATAATGTAAACTTGGCCGAGTGCTTCACTTCCACTTCAAATGCACACTGTTGTTTAGATTTATGAGGTCGGTAATATTTTCCTCAATAGAGCATAAATCAGTAGAAGATTTTTCCACAAGGCGTGCACATTATATTGTTGGGGAATGTTATACATTTTACTACAGTATTAATGTAGGTTTGATCAATCTTTTTATGCCTAAATGTTTTCTTGTACAGCTGGACTTTCTTATTATAGTTGATTTCATTTAAATAACCAAAATGTAAAATGATTTTGCTCATTATATTGATTTATTTGATTTAATTAAATGTATATATATATATATATATATATATATATATATATATATATATATATATATATATATATATATATATATATATGAAGAGTTCAATTGCAAAAAACAAAACTATAAGAAGTGCCATTGAATTTTTGTTCTAAAATGTGCTTTTTTGTTTGTCCAGCTCCTGTGTTTATGTTCAGTAGTTTCGGATTCTTTTTGTTGCAAATAAAGTGAAATAACAAACAGGAGACTAAGGAAAATGCTCATTTTGGAAGAACATTTCAGACGGCACTTGGAGGTTTTTACATGTGAGCTAGATGTGTATATACATAGAGAAACAGCTACGAAAACAAATTGGGAGACCACATTAAAATCCTCACTTTCTCTGGATATATTGGACTTTACCATATTTATTAAGTATGGGCTTGAGTAAAATGTTAATGTTTGTCTTCTTTTATAAAGGTCTGGCAACATTTCTTGAAACTTTGAAATAACAATATTAAAAAAATTTCAGTTTATGGCATATTGGTGACATCATATCATAATCAGCTCATATGCTGCCTTCATCATAAAAGAACTGATAATACACTCAAATCACTGGCCGTTATCAATGACTGTTGTGCTTATTTTTGCTGTAGATTGGTCTATGGAGGTGGTGGAGCTGTGTAAGAAGTTTCATAAAGATGGGGTTGTGGCCATAGACTTAGCGGGAGATGAATCCATGAACTGCGAGTCATACCCAGGACACAAGAAAGCATTTGAGGTAACAAACCACACATTCTCCATACGAGTTGCATTTGCGAAATGCTTTCAGCATGGAAAAGCAGAAAAATCTCTGTGGCTTCATTTTTCCTCAATCGACAATCTGCTTAATCTTTATTGGGCCTCTTATGAAAGTGCCTGCATGCGATTTGCTGAATTTGAAAGAACATGACTGATAGTTGTATGTCTTATCAACAAATAGTTTTGACCCTGACTTCCTGGTAGTATAAATACCATATGTGTTACAAAAGATTTATATGGTTTCTATCGATGCCAGAATTCTTCAGTTGTGATGGTTTCTACAAAAAAACATTAAGCAACATCATTTTTCTGGAGGAGCAAAATCGCATTTTACAATAATTTCTGAATTTCTGAATGATACAAAAAAAGACTGAAGTAAAGATGCAGAAAATTCAGCTTTGCCATTACAAGAATTATTATATTATATTATATTACATTTCATCATATTATATTACATTATATTATATTATATTACATTATATTATATTATATTATATTATATTATATTATATTATATTATATTACATTATATTACATTATATTACATTATATTATATTATATTATATTACATTTTATTATATTACATTATATTATATTATATTACATTTTATTATATTATATTATATTATATTATATTATATTATATTATATTATATTATATTGTATTGTATTGTATTGTATTGTATTGTATTGTATTATATTATATTATATTATATAGAATCCATATTACATTTTTAAATGACACACGTTATTTACAATATCACAATTTCTATGCTTTTAATCAAATAAAATCAGTCTTTATAAGCATAAAAGATTTTTCAAAATCAGTTAATTTAAAAAGTAGTGCAAATCATTGTGTAATGCTATATAATATAGTTACTTAAAATGTAAACACTGTTGTTTTCTTAAAACATAGTAAAACTACTGTTTTGTATTTAAAGCTAAGATATTCAACCATAAAATAAAGATTTGGAAACTTGTGTACAATCCATAACTTAGACGACACTAAAACATCTGCTGGTACCATTAGTGTGCTAAGAGCCTGAGCCAAGATGTTCAGGAAACAAAACACATTTCTTATCCCATGATCTAAACCAAAGCTTACAAAGCTGTATCTTTTGTTCAATGAGGCGGACATAATACTGTACACATCACAGATGCTGCAGTGCTGTGTTTGAAAAAAGCATGGTGCAGAAAAGCAGATGTTGCTCTTACTGTGAGCTGACGGAGTTTTGTTTTTGACAGGAAGCCGTCAGAAGTAATGTGCACAGAACAGTTCATGCAGGAGAAGTGGGTCCTGCCAGCGTTGTGAGAGAGGTACGAGTATCTTCTTTAACACAGCATTTGCTTTCAGCACTAACACACTTCTCACAGAAACATACTGAGCCTGTTTACATGCACATTAAAATGATAACTCACAAAAATTAGCTAATCGAAATAATCTTTTGTCCGTGTTTACATACATCCATCCTTCCAGCAATGCAAGTAAAAGTTTGTATATGTACTATGATATAATATAATTTAATTCTAATAAAAAGGTTGGTACCAAATTACAATAAGATTATGTCAGTTTATAATTTTTATTATATGTCTTTATTTGATTTATGTCATGTTTAATAAATCATAAAGCCTTTTCACAAGCCTGTTATGACACGTTTAATGGTCATCAGTATCTTAAATCCTTAAAAGTTTTTAATATTTAGATTAAAAAAAACATGACATTTAAAAACAATGAACATTTATATCTATTTATGTAGTGACTGAGAGGAAATTCGATGTTAGTCTCTCCTCTGGTTGCTGTCACCAGTCTATTTTTCTTTTTTCTGAAAGTCTTGATAACATCATTGGGGAGTTTTTCTGTTATTAATTGAGCAAATGAGATTGTAAAAAACATATTTGTTGAACTCTCCCATTCACTGGCTTTAAGTTTACTCAGCTATGACGACTTCTGCTACTGAGAAACCCGGAAATGTGAAAAGGATCTATGAAAAGCACAAAAAGGGAATTGCTACACCTCAAAACATGTCATGAAACTTTTCATATTTTCTTATATTTCAAGATTCAATTCATTATTTTTCATTGAAGCACCCTGATATCACAATTACATCACATAGATGTCTGCTTGATGTTTGGGTTTTTTTTTAGACTGTTTGCTCATCTGCAACATGTCTATGAGACGTCTTAAATAGATGTTTATAACATGTCTTTAAGGCATTTATGATTTAAAATGTTTGTAAAATAATCTTTTTAGGATGTTTTTAAGATTTTTATACACAGAAGATATTTTTCAGACTAAATGTTTTCTGCTTTTTAAAATATGTCTTACGGAAGCAAGTATGCTATCTAAGAGTTATACTTCTGCTGCATGAGATAAGAACCCCAGCAAGCTATTTTGTATTTAATAGACATCCAAGCATAGATGTCCTGGCTTACACATGGCTAAATTTGGCCTGTCACTGATAATTCAGTAGTCCAAAAATAGATTATAGTCATCAAATAGACAGACATAATCATTTATTCCTCTCTGCTTGACGGCTTGCCTATTTTTGGACTATTTTTAAGCCATGGTCACACTGCACTTTTCTCCCCATAGACCTCCACTCATAAGCATGCAAATGTTTTAGACCGGAAACGCAAGCTCGTGCGACAAGTTTTGCAGCTGTGTTGGAAATTTCAAGCTTGGTAAACTTTGCATCACCTAACTGTGTGAGACAAATTGAAGATCAAAACATGACCTCTCTAGACAGAAATGTAAAATATGGATCAATCGCTTTTTAAATGTCTAATCATCTTGTTTAGTCCTGCTCCTATTCACAGCGCCGTACAACAGAAGTTTGCTTGTGCAAACTCTAGTGTGACCGCGTCATTAGACGTCTGTTAGATTTTTACTATTAGCCCAAATTTAGATGTCTATTAGATGTCTTTTTAATACGAATTGCTTATCATGACATTTTTTTTCAATTCATAGAGATAAGAAACTGAATTTGTGGCACTCTTCTGTTTCTTTGCTATGTTTTTTGCATCTGGACACATATCCCACTTGTGCATTTCAGTAAACTGACAGAAAGCAAGCTAATGCATCTATAGTACATGCTAGATGAATTTGAAGTAAGGGACGAAAATCTATCTGTGACCATTGTTTTAAGCCATTTATGAGCTTATGCTGATAAATTAAAACTGGTTAATGCTTTTACATGACCACATGAAGTATAATCGGTTAATAATGCATGTATTTGGAAGCCTTAGAGTACATGTAATGTGTTCAATGTTTTCCTGTTGTGCAATAGTGCAGAGTCTGTTTTTAACTATCAACTTCTGTCTGTGAAGCACATTTCCTTTCTGGAGCATGAAATCATATTAGAGATATTTCTGAAAACAGAACAACTGCGCAGCTCATTTTTCAAAATGTCATGCCCCAGAAAAAACAACTAACTCTGTGCCAACTCTGTCCATGATGCTCATGTTCTTTGTAGGCTGTTGAAGTTCTGAAAGCTGAACGCATTGGGCACGGATACCACACACTTGAAGATCAAAATCTCTACAAACAACTGCTTCATCAAAACATGCATTTTGAGGTAAGAATAGATGGCTTTCTAGATATATACAGTTGAAACCAGAAGTTTACATACAATCTAAATAAAGGAACATAACTATTTTTTTAAATGTCCGATGGTAAATCATACTAAACATTAACTATTTTAGGTTTGTTAGGATTACCTAAATGATTTACATTTGCTAAATGCCAGAATAATGAGAGAATTTTTTGAGAGTTTTTTTTTTATTAATTTCTAGACAGTCAAAAGTTTACATACATGTTCTTGGTATTATTTTAGCTTTGCTTTTAAACTGTATAACTTTGGTCAAATATTTTGGGTATCCTTCCACAAGCTTCTCACAATAATTTGCAGGACTTTTGGCCCATCCCTCCTGACAGAATTGGTGTAACTGAGTCAGATTTGTAGGCTGTCTTGCTCGCACAAACTCTGCCCACAAATTTTCAATAGGATTGAGGGTTAGGGCTTTGTGATGGCCACTCCAAAACATTCACTCTGTTGTCCTTAAAGCACATTTTAACTAATTTGGCAGTATGCTTAGGGTCATGGTCTGTTTGGAAGATCCATTTGTGGCCAAGTTTTAATTTCCTGGCTGATGTCTTGAGATGTTGCTTCAGTATTTATTATTACATACTATTCTTTCTTCATGATGCCATCTATGCTGTGAAGTAGACCAGTCCCTCCTGCAGCAAAATAGCCCCACAACATGATGCTGCTGCCCCCATACTTCACAGTTGGGATGGTGTTCTTTAGCTTGCAAGCTTTCCCCTTTGTTCTCCAAATGTAACACTGGCCATTGTGGCCAAACAGTTTAATCTTACTTCCATCAGACCACAGGATATGTCTCCAAAAACATGTCTTTTTCCTAGTGTAATTTAGCAAAGTGTAATCTGGCTTTTTTTTGTTGATTTTCCCATGTTGTCACGAAAGTATGCAGTGTGTTTGAGGTTTTTCTCAAATACTATTCTACAGTTGTGCCTCCAATTAACGCAAATGTTGTCAAATAGCCAATCAGAAACTACCAAAACCTTGACACCATCATCTGAGTTTTTTCAGAGGGATAATAATCCTATTGAATGTAAAACTGACTTTCAAGAAAAGTTATAACAATTTCTCAAAAAATATCTCTCTCATTATTCTGCTATAAAGCATAACATAAACAAATTTGATAATCCTAACTTACCTATAAGAGAAAAAAAGTTTACATTAAAATATGTGCCTTTTTATACTTTTGGTTTTAACTGTACTTTAAGACAGATGCATACACAGCCACAGAAAAATGTATAGTAAATCATTAGTCAGATGGTATTATCATGCATGGGTTTTACAGTGTGTCCTGTAGATTTGCATGTCGCACTGGTCAAAGTGCTTATTTACAATAATGGTATGATATTAGGGTCAATAACATAGGTACACCAGCAAACAACGATGATGAAGCTTATCTCAAAAATAGGTATTACTTTACCAGGCATTTTGTAATTATTTTTTAGCCTTGTATACCAAGTAAGTGTATTTAATTTGTTCATTTTAGTTTGGTCTGATCATATTTCTTTAAAATTTCAAATAAAAATAATCATTGAGATATTGTTTCACAGAAAATGAGAACTGATGAATATAACTAATGTTTTCAGTTTTAGTGAATAAACATTTTTGTTTTAAATATAGATGGAATATCATCGGAAGTTTGCTGAACTAAAAGTTTTACCCAAACAAATATACACTACCCGGCCACTAAATTAGGTACACCTTATACTGATACCGGGTTAAACCCCCTTTTGCCTTCAGAACTGCCTAATCCTTCGTGGCATAGATTCAACAAGCGACTGGAAATATTCCTCAGAGATTTTCTGCAGTTGCTGCAGATTTGTTGGCTGCACATCCTTGATGCGAATCTTCCATTCCATCACATCCCAAAGGTGCTCTATTGGAGATCTGGTGACTGTGGAGGCCATTTAAGTACAGCAAACTTATTGTCAAAGTCAAGAATCCAGTCTAAGATTATTATTCTTCTAGTAGCCATCAGAAGATGCATACACTGTGGTCAAAGGGATGAACATGGTCAGCAACAATACTCAGGTAGGCTGTGGCATTGACACGATGCTTAATTGGTACTAATGGACCCAAAGTGTGCCAAGAAAATATCCCCCACAACATCACCAGCCTGAACCGTTGATACAAGGCAGGATGGATCCATGCTGTTGATGCCAAATTCTGACCCTGTCAACTGAATGTCACAGCAGAAATTGAGAATCATCAGACCAGACGTTTTTCCACGTTGAACTGCAGCAGATAGTCTTGACCATGTCTACATGCCTAAATGCATTGAGTTGCTGACATGTGATAGGCTGATTAGAAATTTACGCTAACGAGCAGTTAGAGAGGTGTACTTAATATAATGGCCGGTGAGTGTAAATTACAATTACAGAAAATTACCTAAACATCTCTATTTATTTAATGTGTGTTTGTGTATATATTGCTGAGATGGATGTTTGTTATCTTTGAAAATATTTGTAACAGATAACCAGAGTTTTTTGCATACATTATGAGCACTTACTTTCCTGATATCTCCCTTATGTAACAGTTCATTAGCTCATTAGCTGTTTACTCCATGACCTGAACAGGGTGTGTGCGTGATAAGTGCGATTTGTGATGTTGGGGCCTAATGTCCTGAAATGTAAACTCACACTGCCCTCTGGTGGACACTATTTAAACATCCTTGTTTATAAACGTGTCACTGAACAATCTCAGTGTACTAATATTTATATTACCTCGACCAGAATGTTTATGAGGTGTTTAATTGAGTTGAATAAACTACACAATGTTGCAGTGTCAGTACAGTGTTTCTAATGGTGTGTGTGTGTGTGTCGTCTTGTTTTAGATGTGTCCAGTTTCTAGCAGACTGACAGGAGCCTGTGAGCCAGACTTCACCAAACACCCTCTCATTACGTGAGAATATTCTTTACAATTTACTTCATCATTTTGTTAGATGTAATTGTTATATGGTATTACAATTTTCCATGAACATCAGGCCACATTGGCTATTAAATAAATGTCAACAAATAGCCAAAATAATAATAATAAAAAATATAAAGGCAACTTCCTTTAGTCTGTCTTAACTCCTGTTAGGCTGTTCATAGTTCTTATCATCTGATCCATTCCTGAAGCACATAGCAAGTGCAGACAATCATTTTTTACTCAAAAGTATGGCACATACATGTAATATATAAACAGATGAGGTAGACCACTGAATTGTCATCATTTTAACCACCTTTTACACTGCAGGTAAAGCTATGTTTAGCATTTGCAAAGTAGAAAATGGGTTTTGAACAGTACTAACAAATGAAGAAAACATCCTCATACACATGCAAATACAGAAATGCACTGCAAATAGCACAGACCACAGTGAAAATCCAAAGTATACTATATGACCCCAAAGAGTTGCGAACCCGGCTATATCTTTTTAGAGTCAGTGGCATGCGCAGAAGTCTGAGAGGTGTTTTTTTGTTTATCTCCAAAAACACTGCAAACTCTAAACAGGAAGCAGTCCAGTATTTGCATGTGTTGTGAGAATTTGCATGTACGTGTTGATGAATAAGTTGATTAATGCGTTTTCTCAATTTGTTTTGGGGTTTGTATTTGCATGTGTGCTTGCAGTCATTTGAGCTCAGCCACCATACCTTTTGCTGAGCCAAACTTGCAGTGTCAAAATGATGTGGTGTTAACGTGATACAACTCAGTGATTTGCACTTGACAGCACTCAGTTGATTAATTCCTGTGCCTAGGAAAGACAGAATCACAGCATACAATTTATAAATCATTCAATTAAGCATTTCAGAGGAAACATTACAAATGTTAACAGTTTTATTCTTACCTTTAGAGTCTATTCAGGAAAACCACAGCACTGTAATAGGGTTTTTCACACTACGGCATTTATACAGGGTGTCTGCGGAGATTTAAATAGTCTTAAATTCACTGAAATATTGTCTTGTAGGTCTTAAATCACTTTAAACAGGTCTTCATTTTCCCTTGTTTATGAAAAGCTACCTAATCGATCCAACACACATCCAATCGCCAACAATACATCTCAACAAAACTGAGCAAAACTATATTTATAACTTTTATTTTAACAGTCTGTTGTCCATACATTTAGTTTGAAAGAGTTATGTTGAAGAATATGTATGTATAACAAGGGTCTGCTTATTTTGACACAATATTAAAACTGTGTGACTCAGACATAGCTCATTAGAATTAGTTTTTTGATGGGGCAATTAAAACATCAGCATTTAGCAATAAATAAGTCTAAAATGTCATCAGATATCCCAAAAGGACATAAATTGAACTTTGTGAAGCCTGCAGAAACCCTGCTATATGGTGTTCAGGATTTATTGTAATTACAAGGTGACAACATATGTAGGTCTGTCACCATATACAATTAAGTCCTTCTTTATATTAAGTGGCCTTAACTACATGTACAGTACATTCAAATGTAAACACAATGTACTTACAGTAGTGTTCATAATGTACTGCAGAACACTTCAGGTGTTATTGAGGAAGAGGTTAGCAGATGGGTAGATCAGGGTCGCTGCAGGTTTCACAAAGAAAAAATTGAAGACTTTAAGACATTTTTAAGACCATTATAAATTAAATTTTAGACTCACACAGGGCTAAACGCTAAAGAGTTTTCGAATGGCCTTATTTATAATTGCCCTATTAAAAATAATAATAATTGAATACATTTAGTAATACAATAACAATACATTTAGTTTGAATATTTTCTATTAATTTTTTAAATATATCCATTCACATACCCTATAACCCTTACCAAGAATAGAACAAAACATAGCTGTCATTTACTTCCGTCTACAATAATAATAATAATTTAATAATAAAAATATAGGTCAGGTCAGTATCCTCAGCAGTAAATAAATGAACAACTTTTAAACAAATGTTACTGTAAGAAAAGTCATTAAATGCTCTTTTTAAATAAAAGGTTAAAAATTCATTGAGATGTATTGTTGGTGATTGTATGGGTGCTGGCCAGATTGAGTAGCTATACGTGAACAAATGAGAATTAAGACCTGTTAAAAAGGATTTAAGACCTACAACACAACATTTCAGTAGATTTAAGACTTTCTAAGACTAAATTGTGTTTTTGAGATTTAAGATATTTCAAGACCCTGCGGATACCCTGGTAGGGTTATGGCGTAATAGGGATGCTATGAGGCATAAGTGATGGGTCAACAGCATAATAATAAATGTAATTAGAGAAATTAATTACAATGTAATTAGATGCATGTAATTAATCAAGCATACAGTATGTACAATGTATAAATATGTATTTACACAATAATTGCATTGTAACAAATGATTCATTTCAAAGTAAGTACATATTAGCTAAGGCCACTGAATATAAAGTGGGACTAATAACTTAAGCAATAGTCTCAGAAATTATTGCGATAAGTGATATTATAATTTTTTATGAACATATATGTCACTGTATATATATTGATTATACGACTGGATAATAATGCAAATAGGCATAAACACTTTCAAGGGACAAAACTTTTTCATTCTCAAGGTTATTTAGATTCTGTAATTTGATGTTAAAAACACCAGTGATATAGAATGAAGTCAGTGTAAAATAGCTCTTTACATTTTATTGACAATTACTGACAATATTGTGTGCCACACATTTACCAATATCGTCTAACATGTGAAAATAGTGAAAAATATATACCCGTATGTAAAAATTGAGCTCACTGACATCTCCAACAGAGATTAGACAAGATGACAGAGGCTGCACTATCAGCTAAAATGCTTCTCACATTAATGTTTATGTAATCATACTGTAAGTCATGTCCATGCATTATGTGATATATTGATGATACCAGGAAACTGTTTATGTTTACAAAATCATGATTTTCTATGGCAATGCTATCAACACTATAAACATAGCTCTGAAATAAATTGGGATGGTTAGGTGAGACAGTAGTAACAGTTTAGATCAGTAGCTCTTGGAAAATTCCCAATTAACAAGTAGCAATTAGGAGTTCAGTAATCAGATTCTTGCAATTTTGGTAAGTCTGGTGTGTAGAGTCACTCTAAACTCCAGGTTTAATTTGGTGGAAAGGAACATTTCACACTGAAAACCTGTAACCATTGACTTTCATAGTATTAGTTTTTTTCTACTATGAATGTCAATGGTTACCGGTTTTCAACTTTCTACAAAATATCTTCTTTTGTGTTTTTTACAGAAACAAGAACCTCATAAAAGCTAGAAACCATTCGAGGGAGAGTAAATTTGAATTTTGGGAGGGTGAACTATCCCTTTAATACTGCTTTTTACCTTTGGAGTGAAGCTCAGCTCTGGATATTTAACAAATGTTACAGCAAGATCACAGGCCACGTTTTATCCAGGGTTTATAAAACACCCACAGTTATCTAATTAAGGTTTGAAAAGCCCTATTGTGTGTTCCAGATTCAAGAAGGATAAAGCAAACTACTCCTTGAACACAGATGACCCAACCATCTTTAACTCCACCTTGAATTCAGACTACGAGGTGGTGCAGAAATACATGGACTTCACTGAAGAGGAGTTCAAGAGACTGGTAATCAAAATTCAACAATACACACAGTACAATTTAAAGTGGCTTCTGAAATGGAGGAACTTTTTTTATAGTTACTATCAGGCAGAAATATATGCCTGATAAGAACTATATGGCAGAAATTAATGAAACCAAGAAAATGACCGAAGTGGAAGGTTACTTCTAGTATCAGAGTTCCTATAACTAACCAGTGTGAAAGCCCATCAAGATGCCCCTCATGTCTTGGCTAAAATAATTGAGTTCTCCTGTCTGTTTCGGTTCCCACAGAATATAAATGCAGCTAAGTCCTGCTTTCTTCCTGAAAAGGAGAAAGAGAAGCTTCTGAATCAACTCTATGAGGCCTACGGCATGCAGAAAAGCACCAGCTTTTGAGAACAGCTCTGTTGTCAACAAATATGCAGCGAACAAAGCCTTTCAGGACATTTGCCTTTTCACAAGTGAATGTGGGTCCTGATTCCTTGAAACCTGAAAAACTCATGCACACATTTTCTTTCCCATAAAGGCCATAAATCCATCACTCAACACAAATAAAACTATAGAAGTAAACATGACATTCATCAAAATGTTACGTCATTCATAATTCATTAACCACATTTATAGCATAATGGTTTCCGCCAAATGCTGTTGCCTTTCATCTCTATGAATATCTACACACAAGTATTGCAATTTCTGTAGCATGAACATCACGTATTTTGTTTTTATTGCATATTTACTCAAGTTTAAGCCACTATACTTTACACTGTTCTCATTATATGCACAGTATATTATCAGAATATAAAGACAATGTCTTGCTAAGTTGCATTTCATAAAATTAAGGGGATAGTTCACCCAAAAAAAAACTTACATAGTTTTACCCTCCTCAAGTGGTTCATTCATGAGTTTCTTTCTTGTTGAACACAAGAGAAGATAGTTTGAAGAAAGCTGAAAACCTGTAACCATTAACTGCCATGGTATGAAAAACAAATAGCATGGAAATCAATGGTTACAGGTTTTCAGAATTTTAAAAATGTTCTTTTGTGTTTTGTGAAACTGTAATAAGTGTGAGTAAATGATAACAACTGTCATTTTCAGATGAACTATCCCTTTAAATAGTACCTAAGCTGTATTACAATGGTGAGTGAGAATGCGTGTATTCAGTATATTAAACCAGAACGTGTCTGGTGCTTATTTGATGTATATGCATTAGAGGAACTTTTGGATGGCAGTTTATGATAATCACTAATAACGATGTTATCATGTTACCAAGTGTGATGACGAAATGCTGTGCAAAATCCCTCAAGATCGTGTCATTCCTTTGATCTAACACCAGAGGGCATTTACCAAAAGTGGATTAATACAACTCAGGTTTAGAGATTAAGCTGCCTTTTGAAGAATAATCGTCAGGTTTTACTTTTCTATTGTATTATGTGAACCGCATACTCTGTGAAGGAATGGACTAAAGCTTTGTCACTGTAAAGAATAAATAAGAAAACCGTGTATCAATACAAATAAATTTCCAGCTGAATATTTGTCATTCTTGGTCTTTTTTATGACAAAAAAAAAATAATGTTTTCAGTGTTTTAACAAGGAGTTGTAAATGTGGGGAAGCAGCAGCGCTGTTTTTATATACCAAATACAATTTTATGTGCTGTAATAATGCTGTTATGCGCAGTCTACTAAAACGCTCAACATATTAAAGCATCTTTAGTGTTTCTGATTTATATAAAACCAAACTGGAAATCGAGTATGATTAATGTTATTATCAGGGCAAGACAAGACGCGTTCCATCCCTGTCACTAGTTAAAATAACCTATTTTTTCTGGATTTAAATGCTTTTTAAAACACTTTGGATAATGTAAGTACATTAGTCAGCAAAATATATTCATTCATTTTCTTTTCGGCTTAGTCCCTATATGTAAGAGCAACAAATAACTTGACTTCTAGTTGATCAATTGGAAAAGTGGCAGAAGGTATTTCGATGAATCATTGTTGAATTGCATCCCAATCATCACAAATTCAGCAGAAGAACCCAATAAGAACCCACATGGACCCAAGATTCTCACAGAAATCAGTCAAGTTTGGTGAAGGAAAAATCCTGGTTTAGGGTTACATTTAGTATGGGGTGTGCAAGAGATCAGCAGAGTGAATAGCAACATCAACAGCCTGAGGTATCAAGACATTTGTGCTGCCCATTACATTACAAACCACAGGAGAGGACAAAGTCTTCAGCAGGATAGCACTCCTCATACTGCAGCCTCCATATCAAAGTTCCTGAAAGCAAAGAAAGTCAAGGTGCTCCAGGATTGGCCAGCCCAGTCACCATATATGAACATTATTGAGAATCAAGACTCTTAATGAAGTCTTGAGAGTCCTGCAAGAACACTTTCTTTGCTATTCCAGATGACTTTATTTATAAGCTATTTGAGTCATTGCAGAGATGTATGGATGCAGTACTCCAAGCTCATGGGAGTCACAAAATTAATTAGTTTTCCACTGGACCATGTTTTATTAAAGTAAAATAAGCGTAATCTAGAGGCCTTTGCCTTTCATATAAGAAACTTCTGATACCAAATAATCAACTAGAAGTCAAGTTATTATTTGTTGGTCCTAAAACTTGTATAGGCAACGATACTTTTATCAGGTTGTGTACATTTTGATGCGCAACAGTGCACTGCATGCTCAATGAAATTGACAGGATTATTACCAAATTAAATAATAAATATTATCCGTCATTAACTAGTAAACATATTTAAACTGGAATGTTAGAACTGGCTCAGTGCAAACAATCATTAGTCACTCAGCTTGTACTTTTAATAAAGTTTCATTTATTCCAAGCTAAGTAAACTATATGGTGGGACTTTCAGTATGGCAACTATTGGTAAAATTGAACACTTAAAGGTGCCGTATGTACGTTTGCAGATATTAAGAAACATGCCAAGTTAACAATGCTTGTTTATCTAAAAAACAATGCCGAAGTCAGATATTCTGCCTTGAAAATGTGTATTATGTGCTGTCTTTGTTTTGGTTCTTTTAACCTGCCCACTGCCACTTTAGCCAATTATATCTCAGGACCCCGGGTTGCCTTGTTGGAAAAGCACATCTTTCATTTACTCATTCAGAAAGTCCCTCAAAGCATGCACTCGTGACCGAAATGCAGCTTCCGGTGGACAGTAACAAACTCCAAAATGAGAAGCATATTCAGAGTTCCACATGAGGATATTAATTAGCAAATAATATAAATATTACTAATGTAAACATTAGGCAGGTAGACACGCTTCATGACGAGATTTGCAGTGATACGCAGTTTGGCTGTTTGCTCCAGACGCAACACAACAGAAATTTAAACACAGCCATTCAGAAGCACAGAATACGATCTAATTAATACACAATAAACCTCTTTAACATCATTAAATATACTTTCTAAATCACTGATATGTGTTGGATTTGAGGTTTTCTAAAATTCTATATCAAACAGTTTATTTTATTTTCAAGATCAGAGGTAAACTCTCTGCTGCTGCTTCCAGCAATAAATGTCATGTAAATGGCATTCAAACTCACAATGTAAGCATTTAACACTGAACAAAGCACATGAGGTGTACCTGAGGTGATCATAGTCCGTTTTCTGTTGTTCAGCAGCAAGAAATAGAAGCCGGTTCGAATATAACAATTTGAGGTGTTGGTTGGGACTAGGGTTGTAACGGTATGAATTTTTCACGGTATGATAATCGTCTAAAACAATACCACGGTTTGACGGTTTCGCGGTATACGGTATGTTACAAATGTTACAAAATAATAGAACAGTGAAGCAAATTTGACTTTTTCCAAATAATATATTTTTAGTTACTATAAACAACACCACTTACAATTAACAAATAAAAATAAGAAAATAATAAATAATGTGTCAAAGTCCAAATAAAGTCCAAATAAACATGGTGCAAATCCTCAGTAAAAAATAGATATAAATATTTACTATACTATAAATAGTTACATAACAAAACTAGATTCAATATGGAACATCCTTAGGTTTTATGTGCCAGCATGGATATGGTTGTCTATCGATATGGATATGGATATGGTTGTCTGCAATGCAGACAAACAGCTGCATCTTCATTTGCGTCTTTTGAAAACAGCAAGAGCAGCAGTTCGTCTTTGCTGTGTCACTGTTTTGTCATGTTTCTGTGCTGCTGTGCATGCAAAAGTACTTAGTATGAAAATTATTTCATGAAAAACTTTTTTTTTTTTTGCGTTTTATTTAGCCGCGCATAAATGTATGCCTATCTCTCATTCCGTGTTGTTCAAAAAGCTTGGTCCACAAACAAAAGCGAAACCTATGCTTATTGGTTGTGATATAGCGAGTTTGAACCAATCTGGGCATGGAGGAGGGACAATGCATCAGTGTATCATGTCTGATTTGTCCGGAGACACAGTGACGAGCGTTTCTTTGTCAAATCAGCGTTGTCAAATGTTGATGACGTAACCGCACTGATTCCGGAGCCTCTGAAAGTCCTGAAAGTCTCTGAAAGCGAATGTTATGTGATACAGCACTGGAAAGCTGAGATTCTCTTCTTTATGCCAATCTTTGAATTGTATGAATCGGATCAGCGGATCAAAAGTTATTAAACATTTAAGAGCAATACTTATTTTTAGCCGCGGGCGGCTGTCTTGGTCTTTAAGGGTTAAAACCGTTGATAATGCAATTGTTCATGGTATGATAATCGTGCACGTTCAAATCGTGGTAAACCGTCATACCGGTATATTGTTACAACCCTAGTTGGGACAAAAACTTATTTTTGCTCGATAGTAAGACTCACTCCTGTTGGTCCTCAATCTGGCAACCTGAGCTTGCGTTTGTTTTGATCCAGGAGTGCATTATCTAGTTTAACCACTGGGTGTCAAACAAACATACTAAATCTTTAATAAAGCACATGATCAGCATCTGAGGAGTCACGAATAACTAGAAGAAAAATACTTGTGAAAAACATACCTTTCATTCCATGTCGCAGCGTCGAGTTTCAAGTAGTGATAGGACTCAATGTGAAGCATCCATCCATTAGCAATGACTGAATGTTTACAGTATACTCAAGCACAATGAATGTAGACCCTAAAAGCAACATAATGTCATTCCTGTTTATTTTGAGGTACTTTACATTTATAGTCACAATATAAATGCAATGTGTTTCAACAAGTGTTTCTGTTTGACAAAAAAAAACACACAAAACAGTGCCAGGAGCAGAAAGCGGGAACTCAAGATACTACATAAATATCGTTAATTATGTTACATTTGTTTTACAGTATATAATGAAGTATAGAAAGAAATCTCTTCTGACCTCAGGCAATATTTGGGAATTCTGTTTTACAACCAGACCTCCTTTAACTGTAGTGGTCATTGTTTTAAAAAATAATAATAATAATAATTCCATGTCATAGGCTGTAACAAAAAGGCTATATTTGGTACTTTATAGTATACAGTAGCTCTGAGTGTTTCTTTAACAGTAACTCAAGATTGGACTGTTTATTTTACGTTTAGGATGGAAAAATATCAAAAACGCCTGTGCTTCTGTTGGACTTCTGTTAGAAAAAAAACAATCTTCCCTCACTCAGCGCTGTGAATGAATACAGTCCTAGACAGATTCGTCCTATTTAGTGGTGTTTGCGAAGGCAGTGTCTTCTTCTCCATCTGTCTCTTAGGCACTCAACAGCATGCAATGGGTGGACGTCCACCTTAATGGCAGTCTATGAGAGGAGCTCTTCATTGCTGCCCCATGAGCAAAGATGAGGAGAATTTCAATGAGAAAAAGAAGAGAAGTCCCCAGCTTTCCTCTCTCCTCTGGGTCATTCTTGATTTGTTTTTTATGACGGTCCCTCTGTCCCCTGTTTGTCCTGGCTCCCAGATGCTTCTGCCTCTGGGGCTGGAGATCCAGAAGCATCTCCCTCTACAAGACATACATGTGATAAACCTTACAGCCATGACAATATACAAGGGTAGACAAACAGGGTTGGGCAAAGTCAAGATATATTAAAATGCCAAATACCTTAAGATTAAGTGTCATGAAATAAACTACAAAATACAACAGTCACAAAACGTGTGTGTATATATATATATATATATATATATATATATATATATATATATATATATATATATATATGTATATATAAAAATAAAATGTATTTTTGTATTTTAAAAATACTACAAAATACTTTCTTTTGAAAGTGAGCATGACATCAGTCCTTTTACCGTTAAACTGACTCTTCGATACTCAATGTAAAAGCATGATTTATCTATTTTTGCAAATGAACTCTTCATATACTTTATCCTGCTTCTGCTGTGTAACCTACTGTATATGCATCTATATGACGTCACCATGTAGACTTCTAACAAAGGATTTCAGTATTTTAAAAACACAGAAATACGAGACACTGAAGTATTTTGATACAAAATATTAACCCATTTCCATTAACCACATCAAATACAAATTACAAAATAGTATTTTGTATTTAAAATATGTATTAAAAATACATGCA